CCCACACGTGGTGGAGAGAAAAGCAGAAAAAAAAAAAAAAAAAAAAAAAAAAGCTTGAGTTGGTATACTTAATCTTTTTTGCCTAAGGTTCACTTTTAATTCTGTGCTGAATATACCAGAGGCCACCGCAAGGAAACGTGCTGACAAATTAGCACATTATGTGCAAGGTAACCAGTAAAAGGGTAAACTCGGTAACCAGTAAGAGGTGCTGGCACCTCTTTGCGCAGAGCCGGCTGCAGTTGCTGTGTCTGAGAGGTGGCTGGCTGAAGGGCAAGGTTGACTCCTGCTCCCGCTGCTAAATTCTCCCGTCTCCTCCCTCGCCCAAGTGCAGCACAGCGGTGGCAGGGCTTGGTTCACCTGCACTCCGCCTCCCCTCCTCTCGCTGCAAGGCTGCGCAGGCCTCCTAGAGTTCTGGGAGATCCTGCTCTGACAGCATCTTCTGCGTCTCAGAGACCACAGGGGCATTTTTCCCAGTAGGCAGTAATTTGGGCATGAACTAAAGACAAGACTTAAATTCAGCTGAAGGAAACGTCAGTTTAGACCTAAAAATGCGATGAAACAAGTCTCTTGGGAATGAGTTGTTAACTTGAGTCGGGCTGGCATAGCAATTGCAGTCACCCTTGTACAATTCCTTTACCACACGTTTGGTATTTCACGACATTTGCATTTTGGGGCAGCTCTCTTTTAAGTTATATGGTCTATTTTTAGGAAATTAAAAGCCTACAGCTTATGTTTCTCAAGTGTGTAAATGCCTGCATACCCTGGCAATGTCTGTACATCTTGCTTGGAAAATTGGGAACAATTAGAAATTCTCTCAAAGGTGGTGTGTTTGGCACTGGAGCATTTTCAAGTATAAAAACTTGGCTTTGATTACTCAGTTTAATTTGGCTTTTATGTTTTTGACTTGCTGGTTTTCTTGCTTGAATAGTTTAATGGGGGTTAGCACTTAGACAAAATGGGGGGTCACGGAAGAGAGCGACCTTTCTAAAGAAAAAAACATTTTGTGTTTTCTCCTAAAAACTGCTGAACTATGACCTATCATATGGAGTGCACTCTATCCATATTTTTCTTTGCAGTTTCTGAGCTTTACTGCTTGAATCATCCATTTCTTTTTTTAATGTGCTTCATATACATGGAAAGGAGTGTGCCTGCTCTCCCAGCACCCCCTCCCAGCTCGCTGCAGTATAGCTACTTGCTTTTCTGGGATCAGGGGGTTATGGCAAAGCTGGAATTTTCCATTCTGCACCATGAATGCAGAGAGACTCATTGTGAAACAATCGATACTTTCTTCCAAGCCTTGGAAACCCTGCAGAGGTTCAGCCTTCAGGAAATTATTTTTTTGCCACAAAGAGAACCCTTCATTATGAACTGATAATTAAAAAGCTGAAGCCTAATATACTCCATGGTTTTCTTTCAATTCAGACTGTACATACAAAGCCAGAAATTTTCAGGACTGACCTCTCCAAGATACAGCATCTGAGTGAGAAAGATTCCTATGAGTGAAGTAACAAGGGCTGCATATTAGGTGAACCGTGCTGCTTTGACCCTGATGATCGCCCCACAGAAATCCCAGCTGAGGTAGTTGCCCAAGTCAAACAGAGTTCACCTCTAACTGGTGGCGAGAAAAACGTTGCCCTTCCAAGACAGAAGTGTGTTGGAAGCCCTCTGAAGACCTTGAAAAGCTCCGAGTGTCTCTGCACTGGCATTAATATCAGCCCAGGGGATCCACAGGGAACGTAAAGCCAAAGCATAACAGTCGGGTTCATCCTTCCCTGGCGTCAGCAAATTATTTCAGTTAGCTTTATGAGATCCAGTTCTTATGGCATGATTTTCAAAAGAGCCTGAGACAGTTACATGGCCCTTTCTTACCGCATTTCAAAGGGTTATTGAGCACGTGCACTAGACACTTAATGTCAATAAAGCTTTACTGCTAATACATCAAAGGTATTTTACGGGCAAACTCTGCATGCTGGCCATTGATGCTAGTACCTATTTTTAATTGCAATGTTGAAATAATGCTTACATTATCACGAAATAGGGGACAGAATAAACTGTTTCAGATATTTCAGCGCTAATTGGATTTTAGATTGTTTGGTTTTATTTGGGTTTTTGGTATTGCTTTGGGGTTGGGTTTTTTGCTAATAGATTTTCTAAAATAAGCACTACCATAACAATTAAAAATTATCAACCAAAAAACTGGGATAAATTTACCAACATCCTTCTACTAACACTGAAAATCTAGTAAGCACACGGTTTGATGGATGCTGTTAAAGTAGATCGTGGCAGAAATTTCATCAAGAAATTGTTGAGACAAAATGAAACCTCTTTTTCGCCAGGATAGAAGGATGGATCAAGTGTTTCAATGCCAGGCTGACTGATGCCTTAGCAACCGAAACTGATGGCCTTCTGTTGGGCTGTTTATGCTGCTCGGCTGGCTTCTGACAGCTAGGAGGCTGGTTTTAGCATTTAGAAGATGATCATTCAAGACGTGCAAGGCAATGAAGTTTCACCGGCATAAATTAGAAGTTACTGGGAA